TAAACCCCAAACCCCCTAAATCCTACGTCGAGGCTGAGGCTTGTGGGACTTCCCCGGACCCGAAAGTCAGAATTAAACCCGAAACCCTGACTTAGGGTTTCGGGTATAACCTGGGGGCCAGTAATACTTGCCTATACTATTTTGGGGGTTCCTTTTGCTAAGTATAGTATATTATACCCCAAAACTCTATTCTAATTATTTGCGCCCCTAAACAAGGACCCTATCATAGAACCCCTACAGATTCCTTCAAGGAACCCTTTAAAGGAGCCCTACTCTAAGTACGAACGCCCCTATATAAATCCCTAGCGTCTTCGAGGGGATGTGGAAATTGCCAAGTGTCACATTCTTCTGCAGCTGACGGGCGCGAGCTTCCTCTCCGGTGGGCTCAGTGCTCTTTTAGGTTCATAGGGCTCAGGGCTAAAAGGGTTTATAGAGCTTCTAAGGTTTTTAGGGCTCAGGGTGTATAGGGTTCAGGGCTTATAGGGTTTTTGGGTTTCGGGTGTTTGGCTTGCGGCTTAGGGCTCATGTCTGGGTTTACAGATGGAGGTTCAGGAGCCTAAGATTTAGGGGAACCTCAGCGGCTGATGCAGAAGCTACCATACCTGAACCCGAAACATCCGTGCCCTGACGCCCAAACCCCTTTCTGCAACCCTTGCGAAGAATAATGTAGGTCAGAAGATCGTGAGGGTTGTCGGGTTTACTGCCAGAACAACGCCAAGACACGCAAAACAACAGCCAAAAGATCAAATCCAGCCCCTACCCCCCGGTTCCGTCCTCGTTGCATTTCCTCTGCTCACTCAAGCGCTTTTCCGAGCTGTCAATCACGGCTCGCATTGGCACTTATTCTGGCTGAGGTACCCGGTTGGTTTCTCTGGCCGTGCATGCTGCGTGCTGGCTCGTTACACATGGCTGCCCTAGGGAGCTGATTTTTACTCCAAATCCTATCTAGCAGCTGCTGGGCAAAGTCTCTTGTCACTCTAGACTGCAGCCGCGCATCTTAAGGCCAGCCCCACTAAGCAGTGCTGCTTATCTGCTACGTGGGATCTTGAAAGCACGACGTCGTAGAGGGTCTGCGAGCCGAACAGGATGAGAATGCAGTGACTTCAAACCAGCTGCATGTGCTGTGGAATACGATACAACGAAACGACACGCACCAGAAGAGACTCTGCGTAGTCATACCTGCAACCCCAAAGCCAAAGTTTGTGTACCGCTCGTGTTCAGATTGAACACGGGCTGAGAGGACTCGAATCATCTGTTCTGCTGTAGGGGTATCCCTTGCAAACCCGCCCAAGGAACCGACAATCACGATACAGGGGCCTTTGTGAAAAACGATTGGTTTTTGGTGGTATCTTACAATACTATCCCTAAGGAGGGGCTATGCGGAATTACAGATTCCAAATAATCCGACTTCTATACTATGGCAACAAAAGCCATTTAGGGGCTATGTGGTCGCCCACCACGCACCATGAAGCGCAAAGCCTGAAACCCCAAGCGATAAATGCGACTCAAACCCTGATATCCTAACAGTAACACCCTAAACCTTAGACCCTAAACCCGGTATGTATCAGTGCCAGTTCTTTGGCCCCTGGGTGCCCTGGGACACAGACCAGAGCCCAGGAGGTTTCGGGGCAGGGCTCCGAGGTACACCACTGGGAGGATCCTGGGACTTAGTAACTTAAACGTGCCCCTAACAAAGGGCTCGTTAAAGGGCTCTATAATAATTGGGGTTTAGGGTTTAGGGCCTACTTCGAGGATCATGGGACTTAGTAAGTATGGTTATAAGTACCTGAAATGGGATATTAAATTATAGCTAACTGTACGTATCGATATATGTTATTTATATCCCCAGCTACCAAGTCCCATGAACCTTTCAGCAGGGGTCAATTGCTTCGGGAGTTAGGACATCTAGCAGTCAATGCAGCAGTCGGATTTTGAGCATGGTGCGAAGGCTATCCACGAGTGCCATGGCCACAAAGAATGTGACAGACTTTGCGGCTGCCACAGGCACTGGCACATGAATTTATAGTCTGTGCAGACCCATGGATGGCTCGGCTTGCAAGACGCAGGGTAAGCTGGCTCCTGTGCCTGGCCTTCAGGGAGTTCTCGTCAAATCCATCTCAGTCTATGCCGTCTATGTCACATCCTCGTTTCAGAGGGCAAAAAGGGCGAGAGAAAGAGTCAGAGGCACTATTAAGTCTTGTAGGCGACCCAATCGCGGAGCCAGTTGCCAGCTCGCTGCACCTGCACCGCAACGAAGAGTCCCGACATGGTGGCTATGTGGGCAGACATCTTAAAGCTCGCCATCCCCACACAGGCCACCACAAAGGCCAGCAGAAAGAGCATCAGCAGCTCTGGGATCCTTCCCAAGTTCACCCGGAAGCGACCGATTTGCCAAACATTGCCCGGAGGACTTTCCTTCTGGGCCTCCTTGCCCTCGGCTGCCTGACGCTTCCGCACTTTGCTCTCCGCGGCCATGGTGCTCCGATTGAAGTGGTGACGGTACGGGGTTTAGGGTTTAGGGCTCTGGAAACTCACTGTTTGGGAGTGTTTATGTCAAGGATCCTAAATTCGTCCTGGATGTTGGCATAGACTCTAGACTGCAACGGCATCAAGGGGTCTACAACAGCTACAGGTCTTTTTGATCAAGACGCCAGCAGCTCCACAAACTCTTGAGGATGTGCTTGAGCAATCAGCTACACGCAGCCTGCTTCGGTACTATTATGCTCTGCATTCTCATGAGCCACACACACAGAGCATTCAAGGCAAATCTCACCTGCTCATGCTTGTTGGAAGTTGGAAGCCCAAGTGACAGGGAGCCCCACAAGAAACTTTGCAGTTTGTGATGCAAATGCAAAGACACTTGCGTAACTGGTTCAGCCTGGGTGTACAGGAGTCCAGACAATATCAAGTCGCAAGACGCGCTACTGGGACGTGATGCATGGATTTGTTGATCACACGGGCAAACACGCTTCCTTGGTCTTGATGTTGCTGCAGATGCAGTTGCATAGCTGGCGCATGCTGCATCAGTTGGTCATGAGGACAATACTCCATGGGGCCTAAGATCTTCCAAGAGGAGCATCAGCAACCCTCCACCGCGGCTGGGAGTATGCATTGTCTTCTTTGCTTTGCACCAGAAGCCGTTGCCAGCCCACGCCTCTCTCAGAGCATCGACAGCACGTCACGCAGCAGCTGGAGAGCCTTCCTTCATGCGGCAGACCCTATACGCCCTAAACCTATAAACCAGAAGCCCTTAAGCTGTAATTCTTTATCGGGTCCAGAGAATGACCCAGCTTGCAAAGGCAAGCCGGGCTCTGGGATTCCCAAGTTGCAGGCTTCTAGAGAGCTTCGGCTTCCAGATCCACAACGTAACACTTTTGTACAGTAGAGGTATGAACAATCGACCGATGGTTGTGCAAAGAAGGGCAACAACATTACGGGTACAACTTGTCGGCGCTGCAAGGACATCATCAACAGCACCAGCATCAGAAGCAGCAGGTGCAAACTGTGTAAGGCAAGACTGCTAAACTTGGAATGTGGCAGCATACATAATACATCTAACGGTGGCAACTTTCGGCGGTTGGACGCGATTCTGATGACGATGGTGGTGATGCTCCTGCTCCGGCTCTTGCTGTTGTTACTGCTCCCGCTGCGGCTCTTGCTCTTGCTCGTGCTCCCGCTCTTTCCCCTGCGCTTGCTCCTGCTCTTGCTCCTGCTACCCCCTAACTCAAAACCCCTTCAAATAGGCGAAGATGATTTCAGGGGGTTCTCCCGGAAAGCGTTTTTGCTATTAGAGGAATGTGAAAAAAGTAAATGGGCCAAGAGATTACGATGCTGGCAACGATGACGATGATGATGACGTTTGATAAATGGGCCAAGCGATTACGATGCTGGCGATGATGATGGCGATGATGATGATGATGATGGTGATGATGATGATGATGATGGTAATGGTGATGGTGATCATGATGATGATGATCCCTATTGGTCCATGTACTCAAACAGCATACTGTGTACTTTGGCCCTAAAGTACCAACATAGGGACTACTTTAAGGCCAAGGTATACTATTTGGGTACATCATGGACCCTCAGGGGATACCTCTGGAAGACTATGTTCCCGGAACCCTAAACCCTAAACCCTAAAATCCTAGCACTCCGAGACTCTCCGGAGATGGTAGCGGCTCCGCCGTGGCATCCACAGGCGGGTGTACGTCGAAAGTCCGAGGAGCCAGGGAAGCATTCCTTGAAGCAGTGGGTCCCTGTTTTGGGGTTCCTTAAAGGGATCTATCAGGGCTTCTATAAGGGTACTATAAGGATAGTTCTCTAAATGAAGGCCCTATTCTGGGCCCCCCCAAACAATACGGCACCCTTATAAACGGGACACTACTTAGCGAACTACCCAACTGGCACAATCAACCATCTGCCGGGAACGCTAGGCATTGAGGAGATTGTACTCAATTCGGTTTTCGTAGCGTGTTTCCACTGCTGCCATGCCACGGCAAAAGTAATCTATTGTACATGAACCATAAGGGTATATCCTAAACCCTAAACCCTTAACTAGAATTATGCCGACGTATACCTCCCAGCCGAAAGACACTCCAATCCTGGCTCATGCCCTAAACCCTTGAAAGTTTGAAGGAACTCTAAGAAAACCACCAGACTTCCCCCAAACCTGTAGAAACCTTACAGGAACTCCAGGCATCTCAAACAAATGTAGAACCCCTTAGGGGAACTCTAGAAAAAACCCATGCAAGGATACCTCGAAACTAAGGCTCCATGATCCCTCGGCAGCTTCTCCCGCTGGCCCGGGAAGTGACGGAGTGCACAGCGCTCGCCTGGGATCGTCTATAAGCACTAACATCTACCCTAAGGGTCCATGTACCCAAATAGTATATACTTCGGCCCCAAAGTACTTGTATAGGGAATACTTTAAGGCCAAAGTATGTCCTATTTGGGCACCTGGACCCTTAGGGTTATGTAGACATTCGCCCTAAGGGTCCATGTACCCAAATAGTAGATACTTTGGCCTTAAAGTAGTCCCTATATAGGCGCTTTGGGGCCAAAGTATATACTATTTGAGTACACGGACCCTTAGGGTTAGTATGTGGGTATAGATGTTGACATGACTGCCAACAATGAATATGGAATAGCAATGTTCACTATACTGTGAACAATCATTCTACATGACAATACCGTTTCGTATAGATATGCGTATAGTACATGCATACATACAGACAGACAGTCAAGCAGGCAGGCAGGCAGACATATACACCTATGTACACATGCACACATACATATACCATCATACCCATATATACATACCTTAAGGACTAACTTCCTCTTCTATGTAGCTTTAGGGGTTTAAGGGTATAGGGTTCACTGCATTTGCTGGGTTCGGGGTCTCAACCTGTAGCTTAGGGTTCGGAGTTTAGAGTCCAAAGGCTTCAGCAGTGAGCTTGTTTTCCTCGGAGCTATTGGGATTTGGGATGGGTCCATTTCTCCATTGATTACCACGTGGTGTAGACTTTGGAAGGTGGGTCTGGGCCGTAGAGTAAGTGTCTTTCGAGGATTGTAGGTTTTGGACATCCAGCTTAAGGACTTGGTGCGATTGAAGCTCGAGAAGGTTCTGGTAACATGAGTTGCAGCGAATCTAGCTACCCATCGACGGTGCCCTCATGTAGCACAGTCGTACTTGAGGCTCGGTTTCTCCAACGGTCCATGTGCTCATGTAGTACGTTACTCTGGCCTTGATGTAAGCCCCATACCGATACTTTGTTGCCTAAAGTGTCTACTACTTCAACATATGGAACCTCAAGGAACCCTATACCCTAATCTCCAAACCCTGAACCCTATACCCCAAACCCTAAACCCTAATCCGTAAATCCTAAGCCCGAGATCCTGGAACATGTCTAGAAGACAGGTTGCCAATAGCTGGGCGCCAGCTGAAGGGAGTCTGCGACGTTGGCCGACATGTCTTCCAGGTCCTGTTATGTTTTTTAGATATATCTGTTGTAGTTTATGCTATTTACGGTATCTATATGTCTTTTCTGATTCCAAAACATACAGTGTATACTACAGACTATATCCTATGCTGTACTTGGTACTGTTGACTTTTGTTTAGTACATAGATTGTATCCTATACGATATGCTATATACTGTCTACTACACACTACTGGCCATATACTATGCTCCACACAAAACAGAACATATGACACATGACATATAAATTACATGTCTAGACGCGAGTGAATGTGATGAATGCCATGATGCTCGTAAAGCACGCATGTCTTACTGTTACTACTGTAGGCGCTGTTGGTTACTATATGCATGGTGTTGTTTTTAATGCCCCCAGTGATACTTAGCCAATGATCAGTGTTACTCAGCATAGTAGGGCTGGTGATGGACCAAGACAGCGCAAGACTCGAAACTGCAACGACCCTAAAATCAAAATCGCACCCCCTGTATACTGGAACAAGGCACGGTTCCTGAGGCTTTATCCATCTTCAACTCCGAAACGTTTCCATAGGAACATCAAGAACACCTCATGCGGCACAGCTTCAAGCACGCAACCCTGTGCCCTATACGCCGGATAACCATCAAAGATAATAAAATACTAAAGTTCCTGATCATAATAACACTTATACTTACCAAACATCATAACAAGAACAAGCAGTAACAACCAACAAATCACAAATCATGAGTAGCCCCTCTGAGCTCCCACGTAACGGAGACCCGACCCCACACACCCGGATATTACCTTTGCGGCAGAAGTCCCTGAACCCTTAACCCTAAACCGATATGTGTTCATAAGTATTTAGACCCCAGGGTCGAGTTCCTTGACATGCAAATTTGAAACCCTTCGGCCATGGAGTCTTCAAGGAAAAGTTCACAAAACCCAGAACCCTGTAAAGCCTGCAGTGGCACCAATGCGAAAACCTTTAAAACTGCAAAGCCAGAAACCTGGTAAACGTGCAAGAAAGGCACTAGTTCGTCAACTCCGATCCAACCAAAAACCCTATCAATAACCTTACAAACACTGTTCACAAGCACATGAAGATCGACGAAACCCGCTAAGGCCCTATCAACAAACCCAGCTTCGGCTCCTTCCGAAGCGCTGCCTTCAGCGATTGTCGCACTAGTGCCAGCGCCGCCGCCGCCCCGGGTGAGGACTGAGCCGATTTTCATTGTGGAAGGGCTTACTGCTCAGGGTTAAGGGATGTGACTTTCTTTAAGTTCGTGTGCGGTACGAGGGTTGGGTGCGGGTTGAGCTTGCTTTCAAATTTCGCAGGGTTAAGGATTTGCAGTTTTAGACGCGCTTGGCGGTTTATGGAATACATAGGATTTGACGGTTTGGCGGGTCTGCTGGGCTGTGGGTAGCCCTTTGCTGTATCAACTCTAGCGACTCTAGCCAAAAGCCGCAAAACTCTGGAATTTGGACCTCTGATACACGTAGCTAGCAAAAATTCCTATAGGCCACACCCTGAAGTGCTAAGGGCCCCGTAGAACCACATTCAGCCCCTATAACTCATGCAAACCCTACATAACCCTAGAAAGCCTCATGAATGAACCCAGAACCAGAAGCGCTAAAGCCTCTTCCAGCTTTGGAAAGCGCTGCCGCCGCAGTGCCCTCGCCAAAGTTAGCAGCGCGAAGTCCAGTCTTCTGGCTCCACCTTGCTCATGGTCGGAGGATCCCTTTAAAGGGTACTCTAGGGTTCGAGGGTTCCCCCAAAAGGATTTTTTGTTTATCACAGGGTTCGAACATAAGCTTTCCTTATGGGTTCTATAGTAGGGTTCCCCTTCAGACGCCAGGTTGTAGGATCCCCCTAAAGGGTACTATATGGTTCCATAATAGGGAGCCCTTCACGAGGGTACAGTCGGGCTCTGTAATGAATTCCCCTTAATAAAAGGGGCACTGCAGGCGGATCGGGCTCTATGATAGTGTTCTCTTTAAGGGCTGCTGACAGGTTCTATAAGGGCGGTGTAAGTGCGACTGTGATGTTCTAGGTTCGAAGGTTTTAAGGCAATTGGCGGCTTTTCGGTGTTTTTGGTTGAGGCCTTGGGGATGTTGGAGTTTGTGAAGGGTGGGGGCTGGGCCTTCAGGGGTCTAGGTTTAGGGGTTTGGGGTTGAGAGGTTTACGCAAGCAGTCAGCAGACAATCCGAGCGAGAGCGACGCCTGGATCTGTAGCCAGAAGATTTAGATCTACAGGGTTGAGAGGTTTAGGGTTTAGGGGTTCAGGGCCTATAGCGGATTTGGAGAGGTCACGATGCATGACCCGAGGTATGGGTTTGATTAGTTGACATGACTTGGAGCTGAAAGCGTAGGGTTCATGCAGAGCCTTGGGTTTACAGAGGCTTCAGGGAGGTCGCTGCTTCTCTGCTACTCCACTGGGATGACATCTGATCGCGCTACACCGCGACTAAGAGGTTTGCCGACGGCCTCGTCTTTGACCTCACGGCTTCGCACGCGAAGAGCCATGTTGTCTTGGCACTGAACTGCTGCAGCCAATATTTCGTTGAATCTCTGTGCGAGTCGTTGTTCAAAAAGGAAAGAAACACTGGACCCCACACCTCGTAGTCGATATTTGGAGGACGACACCGACTCGAACGCCCAAAGTTCCCAACCAAAGCCTGGACGACAACAACAACAACAACACCAACAACAACAAGAACAACAACAACAACAGCCTCCACCACAACAACAGCAGCAGCAGCAACAACAACAACGCAGAAACACACATATATATATATATATATCTAACATCATAGCCATCATAGCTACAGCTTCACCACTCGTCCTACTGACGAGACAACCCATCCGTTGCTAATTCAGAGATGGTTTCTTCGCGAAGATCCTTCTGCGATCCTCGTTTGACTTCTCTGGAGGTATGGAGGTACCCTTCCCACACACCAAACCCCAAGTCAGTCACGGCTTAGGCAGTTTGCGTGGACAGTTTGCGGATTGGGGCGTACTACACCCGGAAGCTAAGTCCTATCAACCCTACATCCCGAACCCTTGGGTGACGAACCCCAACTCAGAAACCCCGCTCTCAGCTTTGAGAATGCACAAAACAACCCTAAGCGCTGAAATAGGAGTTCAGTAGCCGGGGGCTCCACCTTCTTTGGATGCAACCAGCATGGAGCGGACCTCACTGGTGCTCGAAGCATCGGAGATGCTGGTTTGGAGACTCGTCACACAAGCACCCAAAATGCCCCACCCTCACATCCGAAAACTAGGAGCCTACAGTGTCTGAGCTTCATGTCGACGATAGAGTGAAACTGAAACAGGAAAGCACAAATCTTCAAGCGCCCTTCATCATCTGAAGCGATCCAGACAGGAGTTCAAGCTCGTGAAAGCGCTGATCTGGAACCCATCTCTTCACTCGCTGCCAGAGCGGCTGGGTAGGGCTCCAAAGCTTCGTCAGGAGCTGTCGATGCGGCAGTGCGGATGTAGAGAAAAGGGAGCTCCTCTCCCGGAACCGGCTGAGCCTCCCGCATGGTGTCGGGCGTTCAAGGCATGCGAAGCACTGCAACTTCAGAGATAATTACCTGTACCACAAAAATGTAGCCTAATCAGAGTTTAGGTAAGGATCGAAACGAACAGGTTCATGATTTGGGGTTTGGGGGATTTGGGGGGCTTGGGATGATCTCCCAGTGTCCGCTTCAGGGCTCCTATGGGATTCAGCATGAAGGAGGCATCGGTGAAACCCTGAACACTAGACCAACAAACAAACAAACAAGCAAACAAGCAAACGCACAAACAAACACACAAAGACATACAAACACTAACACACATAGATAGACAGATAGATAGATAGATAGATAGATAGACAGATAAACCGATAGACAGATAGACAGATAGATAGATAGATAGATAGAGAATTAGATAAAAATATCGGTAGATACATAGACAGATAGATAGATAGATAGATAGATAAATAGGTAGGTAGACAGACAGATCGATAGATAGATAGATAGATAGATAGGTAGATAGGTAGATAGATGGACAGACAAAGGTAGGCAGAAAGATAGACAAACAGATAGATAGATAGATAGATAGTTAGATACTTACGTACTTACTTACTGCATGCGTGCCTACTTATATGCGTTCATACAGATCCATATCTGCAATGTGTACATACACGCACACACACATACATACATACATACATACATACATACATACATACATACGTACATACACACACATACGTAAATACATACATGCAGCATGTGAAAATACGTACATACATACATACATACATACACACATACATACAGACAGGCATAGGTGCATACATAAGAACATGCATACATACATACATACATACATACATACATACATACATACATACATACATACGTACACACATACATGCATACATACATGCAAATATACATGCAAGCATGCGCACATCCATACACAGACACATGCATGCATGAGCGCACGCATACATAAATTGATGTGCACGTGCATGCACATAACATATGTATGTGTGCACATATATATATACACACATACATAAACATGTCGTGTTTAAACTGAACTTTGGCTGCTTCCGCGTATGGTGGGATAATAGTTTTTGTTCAGCGTTGTGTGTGTGTGTATGTGTGTATATATATATATATGTATGCCGTAGCTCCAGCGACCACAAACCCTTCAGTACACCTTTGCGATGATATATCAAAGCCTAAACCCTAAACTCTAAATCCCAGCCTAAACCTTATGCCCCAGCGGACCAGCATTGGTGCCGCCGTTGCCCAGGCCTCGGAATACCAGTCGCTTAAACCTTCGAAGAGGGCATTCCCCTCACCGAGACCTCGGCTCAGGTATCGGTTGTTTTAAGGCAGTATGGGAGTAATAATAATGACAATAGGGTTCCTTGCAGGCCGCCTCTCTATGATGCTGCAAAAGGGTTACTACAAGTGACTAGGGCTTAGTGTCTACCAGAGGGCCTTGACAGTTGGAATAGGGGTTTGTGGCATGCTATCGCATCATTATGGGTTGAATTTCCTTGTTAATATACCTACTACGAATACTCTTATTCACATCAATATTCATATATTCACGCCGCTTTAGTATCGCGGTTCAGGGTGCAAAGCGGGCGATGGAAGGTTGAGTGAGTGTTCGATCCGCCTTCAAGCTATCGATCTTACACGGCTACTGTAGTCAAGGGGCCTGAAAAAATGCCAACATTCTTCCTTAGGGTTCTTTATTCGAAATGTAATCCTGTAGCTGTAACAATTCTACTCCACAACCCCAGTCTACTCATTAAGGCGCCCGGGTCTAAGGCAGTAGGGATTATTAGAGGTTCAGGCTTTAGGGTTACGGGCTTACCCTAGACCCTTAACACGAAACCGCTCTAGGGCTGAAGGCTCTGAGATGTAGCGTTGACTACCTAGCATGACCTTCTCAAGGCCTGCAAGACTGTGGCTTCGATGTTCAACGAGTAGGGGTCAAGAGAGAGGGCCCAGGGCTCAGGGCTTCATAGGGTTCAGGGTTTAGGTTTAGGGTTTAGGGCTTTGGGGTTGAGGGTCGACGATTTCGAGATTGAGGTCAAATGTGCGCGGCTTAGGTGTCGGACTTCCTAAGGAATAGACCTTTGTCGGTCATTCTTGCATCGACCGATCAACCATGCTTTCCAAAGTTTCTAATCCCACCCGACAAGCACTACAGCCGCAAGCCGCAAGAGCTGCAATCTCCACACCCCCAGTAAGCCCGATCCAAACATCCTCGACGATGTTTCCCGAAAGCCCGATAGAAACCAAAGAAGACCCAAGGAAGCTTGAAAGAACATGCAGCACCCGTGCGACCAACAGACGCTTTCTGGAGGTATCGCTTCTTTTCGAAAGAAGTGTAGTCCTATCTTGCTTGACTCCTATGTAGTGTGTTGCAAAACAGAGGCTTGAGTTCGTGAACGGAGGTCTCTGGTCCAACCAGCTCATGCGAAAGCAAAAGCCTGGGTCAGGCGGGGGGACTTAGCAAATCAGGAAACCTATGATACAGATATAATTGATACAATTGTACAGGTAATGTCCATGCTTGGTGTTACAAGTACCTTGCTCGGTAATTTTGCTTCTACCCTTAGGCCTTGTTTGTAAACAACCGACGAACATCCCTTCACGCAATGCTGAGGGGTTAAGAGCTACTGGTTCAAGACTTCGTGCAGAAGGTCTTGTGAGCAGAAGGGGTGGTACTATGAAGCGCTATGATACGTTGTGGATCCTTACGGAAACTGGAAGTCGATGCTTTCGACTTACAAACCCTACATAGAGCGCTAGATGTGCTTCGGCTCTCCAGATCAGGTGGCGATGGTCGTGGGGGTAGATGTGGTTGTGGGGAAGGTCGTTGTTGTTGCGGTGGTTGGTGGTCGTGGTTCTGGCAGTCGTGGTTGTGAGTGGAGCGACGGTGTGGCAGAGGAGGGTGGACGACGAAGCACCTCCGCGTTCGGTCACGAAGTTCACTCGTTGTTTCTTGTAGGATGGTTTCTGTGGTGGTCGATATCACCCTTTTGATCTTGCGCCCCGTCCGCTCGATTCTAGGACGTGTCGGCAGACATCTCGGAGGCTGCGGTGAGGGGTGTGGGGAGTGTGTGTATATATATATATATA